TAGACGGGTGCAGTTTTCGTCTGTTGCTGCTGTTTCTGTTTTTGATCCGAAGGATAGCTTAGCCTCCCCCATGCTGCCCCCTCACGGGGTCCCAGTTCATGGTAGATAGAAGTGTGTTTTCAACCGCACTAAGACTGACGTCGTTTCATTGGTCAGCCGGTTAGCGCGGTCGATGCTAGTAATAATAGCACACACACTTGGTCAGCCGGTTAGCGCGGTCGATGCTGATAATTATCACACACATACTGGATGGAGCAATCATCGTCAACCTGACTCGATGTCACTTCACGACGTTCTTTGGGGTTTTCCGATGCGCTCTATACATTACATGTGCTCAAACGGCATTGTTCGTCAGCGACTGCAGAGTCTGACATGGAAACTTTGTTCTCACAGTACTGAACCGAACCCATGCAATGGAAAACACAACAACTGTTTGTGGTAATAGGTCGTATACAGGGATTCACAGGGGGTTGGGGGTTTTCCTAGTATGTTGGATGGATGAGTATGACGATGGGGTGAGGGGGCCAGGTGTGTGTGTGTGTGGTGTTCTTGCTACGTCTCCCTCACCGCACCGTATGTACCGTCTGTCCGTCCCTTCTTCTCCTGTGCCTGTTTGTCTCCTGGTGGTGGAGGTTTTGTTAGGGTACGGATAATATATATGGATTTATTGTCTATCTCTGCAAGGGGTTACCTTAGTTCCTCGCGCCCCTGCCAGAAACAACAACCACACGCGACCTCCTGCTATACGAGAGGTAAAGAATGACCAATCAATCTGATGCTCCTTGTGTGGGACCCAAAAAAATACGCATTTGGAGGGAGACACGTTTAAACTTTATTTAAATCCGTGCCTCGTAACGCAGCCCCGTGCATCCAGGGAGCGCACTCGTGGGGAACATCCTGGCGAATCGGGCCCGCCCGTGTACGTCGGCAGCGCACGTGACCTCGAGCAGTCTGACGAGGAGGAGGAGGAGCGACAATCACCCGACCAGGCGAGCACTTACATACCCACGAGGCGTAACCCTTGGATCTCAGGGGGAAAACTCTTGTTCGTTGAGCTGTTTTATAACATAATAAGATCTTCACGTACCTAACAAGTTCCGAGCTATTCTGTTTTGATTATCCGGGTGGGAGACAGACAGGAAGAGGCCAGCTTACCACATCTCCCGATCTCAAGGGGCCGATGAATACGTTTTAGAGAGAGAGGGTGGGAAGGCGGGGATAGAAACAAATGTTCCTTTGTGTTTACCAGGTATACTTTTGTCGTACAGCATGTATGTGCGAATTAGCAACGATTCCCCCGCCGAATTCTCCAGCACGCGTCAGATCGGGTTTCCATTTCGACGCTTCTTGAAATGAGATCACCGCCACCCCCTCCCCCCTTCTCCACAACCCTCCCTACCCTCTCCGTTTTCTTTAGTCTCCTGCTACACCAATGGTACGTTATATGCAAGTGTCATTAGTGGGGTTAAATAGAACTACCAAACATGACAACAACGCTTTGTTCCGGTTATACGTTAGATCCAATAGCAATACATCGATGTCGTACTGGCTTAAGTCGTTTGGTTTTCGCGCCATGATCATTCGCTCCGCCCCATGTGTTTCATATTGCCACCTCTTTCTGACACAACAGCGCTGCGCGTCGAAGAAGAGGGAAAAAATAAGACACAACTATTGGCCCGTTCTCCCCGAGCATGAAGGGATGACGACGGAGCGCCTCTTCACCGAGGGCCATGTGGCTACCGGCAGCTTTCATTGACCACAAGCGTTTTGCGGAGGAGGCCCGGAGGTTCAACGGCGTCACAGTCCAAGCAAAACGGGTATGGCAAAAACAACCCAGCGGTCTTTCCAACCTACACAACAACAAGGTGATCGCGGAACACTTCCCTTCGCTGGCCCCGTTGTTGACACCTCTGGGAGAGTTGTGCGAGCTAACGATGTCAGACACCACACGCAGATTCAAGAAACAACGAGCACAGCAGTACACAAAGTCAGGGCGACGTCACCGAGACAGGAAGAATGCGGCGTGGCGGATGTGCATCACCGTTCACGACCCGGCTGCGCCGTCGGATTTGAAGCAATTGGAGATAGGGGTGGCGGACGCCAGCGCAGCCAAGGATGGTCACGCCGTAACCCCGTTCCAGTCAAAATCAGACGGTACACCGGACGTCACGCGGTTCGACTGTCCGTCGGCATCCTACCACATCATGGACACCGTGGGTACCGGCTACACATCTCACGCTCACCACCAGGCGATCGTCAACACGAGCCTCCTTGCTGTACATGGAGCGGCTACGACGTTCGTCATTGACATGGACCCCATCAACCCTGACACTTTAATCCACGACGTCGACGCGATCGCGATGGGTACTGCGGGCGAGCTCGGGCCAAACGCAGGCTGCAAGTCGGCGCCCGTCCCTCCCCCGACCCCAGAGCAGATCGGCGTGTCCTCTGGGTCGCAGCAGGCAAGCGACTGGCACAAGCTTCAGAAGGAGACTAACCTCGAGGCCTACACCGAAGACCGGCAAGAGGGAGGTGAGTGCAAAGATTGGAAAAACTCCAGAACCGTGGGGTTCATGGGGCTGATACAAGTGCTGTTATATTTTTTGGTGTTCAGTCTTGTTTCTACGTAGTAGTCAACGGTGCGAGGCCGAGACGTGTTTTTTCATCACTCGGAACTGTTTACCTTTGACCCTGTCTTCATGCTTAAAAAAGACGGCCTATTCAAGTGTGTTGTCGTTGTTTTCGTTGGCTTGTAGAGGCGCCCCGGTGGTCTAGTGGTGGTATCCTCGTAATCCGCTAGTTGCAGAGGTCGTGAGTTCGATTCCCCATGGGGCGAAATATTTACGAAATGTGCGGGTGAACTCGAAATATAGCTGACAAGCTCTCGTGATTACCAAACTGCGACGTTAGCACCGTTGACGAGGGAAAGGGACGGCTGGACCCTTCTTCTCGCGATAAAAATAAAATTCAGCACGCACCGCAGGAGGAAGGTGGGGCACGAAAAGAAAAAAAAAAAGAAAAAAGCCCTGGTGTTTACCCCCTCCTGTGTGACCCTGGAGGATGGTTGTAGTTGTACGAAAAAATGCACTGAAAGGTATAGTACTCTACATACGCTGAAAAGTGATGTAGTACACGTCTCACCACGAAAAATGGGGGGACTGTAGCCGACTCGAAAATGTCAATTTTAAATGAAGAACTTGTTTTTCGGTCAAAAAGGGGGGGGGGATTACGCCGAACAACATATTCGCCTGATTGAGAGCGAAGTATCTGATTGAGAGCGAGAGCCAAAAAAATTGAAATTTCGGGTCCAGACGCCTCTTGCCATTTCTTGGCAAGTAGGGGACGGGCTATTCCAAGAAGCGGTGCAAATTGAAGGTCTCATCAGCAGCTTCGCGAGCATATGCGTGTCATCGTCATCGGATGCTGCAGCGAGGAGCTAGACAAGTTGCTAGATTTGCCCAGATTGGCTATTTCTGCTCAAACTGTTTCAGGGCGGTATCGCGTCGGGCGGTGGGCTCTGCTGTAGCTTCTGCTCCCCGCTGTAGCTCCACAACGAGAGACTCCCACAGGATGACCAGGGTAGCGGCTTGAAGCTACGGGCTAGCCCTTCAATTCAAGCTACACAGGAAGCTCCACCTCTCAGTGGTAGTCCGGCTACAGCGTATCGCGCAATCTCGCTCTCAATCAGATGCTACGCTCTCAATCAGGCGAATATGTTGTTGCCGGCGAATGAGAAATCAGGCACTTGGCAAAACACAAGCCAAGCATTCATTCATTCAAATCATGCAAAAACAACAACACAAAGAGAAACCCTCCCATGAGCAAGCGGTCTTTGTGGTATTTTCCGTTTTTTTTCGTTGCATCCTGTTGGAGTTCTTGCCTGCAACAAACACGACGGGCGGGGGGAATAGGCTCAATCAATCCAACCATGCACCAGTTGCTCGCTCTTAAGGCATCGCGTTCTGTTCGATCGACTGTCAAATTTTCATTCCAAAAGTCAAAATGCACGCTTTGGCGGCAACAACAACAACAACAACAACAACAACAACAACAACAACAACAACAACAACAACAACAACAACAACAACAAATTAAATACTATTCAAACTTCTTCTACGGGCGCGTCGAGGGCATGGGAGTGGCCGGGTGGTGCTTGCGTCGGGTACATGTAACATCCCAAGAACGGCGGGTGAACACATGGACAAAATACGAACAGAGGATGGCAACAAGAACAACAACAACAGCAACAGGCGGGGGAGTTACTTCACTCAACCTCATGCAATCGACTGTTAAATCACCAATATCGCAATTTATCCTCGATCGAGAGTCAGTTCCACGCATTGGTAGCATCACATTATTCGACGGGAAAAAAGGAAGCGGGGAGCGCCGTGTGTACATGGGGAGGCAACAACAAATACTATTCAATCTTCTTCTACGGGCGCGTCGAGGGCATGGCAGCGGCTGGGTGGTGCTTGCGTCGGGTACATGTAACATCCCAAGAACGGCGGGTGGACACATGGACAAAATACGAACAGAGGATGGCAACAAGGACAACAACAACAACGACAACAGGCGGGGGAGTTACTTCACCCAACCTCATGCAATCGACTGTTAAATCGCCACCGGTACTACAGTATTCGTGCCATCGACGCGTCCGTAGAAGAGGATTGACTCAACATGGATGAAAGCCAACGAATGTGTGCTCGTAATTTTCTGATTGCTTCTTGATACCGAATTCCTCGGACGCGCGTGTTCATTTGTTGTTGCTGTACGTTGTTATTGATCTACCTGATGTAGTCGTCAATTCTATTGGTTTTGTGCGTTGACCCGCTCGCAGGCCGCGAATCAGGGCGGCAGCAGATCCCTGAGGTTGGGTGCGGACAGGGAAGCGACGGCAATACCACGGGCTGTGTGCCGTCCGAGGGCGCAGACGATCACAGGTCGTACGTACGCAGGTTCCATCGATGGTGCCAACAATGCGGAGAGGCGAGCCCCGGCCGATCACGCTTCTACGTTTTCCAGGGAATCCCAACCCTGAACAACGGCCGAAAAACGCTGGCGCTGCCGCCTCACGACACCAACGGCGGTTGCTGCGAGGTGTGCCTCCCTTGCGACGAGGACGGGAACATCGCGGGCCTGGCGACCACATACCCCGCCGGTGACAGATTGTCCACCGATAGGTGCAGGACCCTTGCGATCACGCGACTTTGGCACACGGATTTCGGCCCTCTCAAAGGGCGAGGGACTTGAAACGTCCGTAGTGCATGTACTCTCACCTATGCGTGGTACGTGGGTTTGAGAATGTGGCTCAGGGCGGTCTTACCGCTGCTACTGCCAGGCCTGGATGTGGACGGGGTGTAGCGAGGCGGGGACGTTCAAGTCTGGAGAATTGGATCACTGGAAGATGTTCCCTTTGCTTGCACATTGTATGGTGATCATGGCGGGCGTCGTTGCCGCCACCTGATCAAATGTGTTCAGTTACGAGCTTCACACAGTCCTTAGGATTGGGATTCACCGTGCTGTGTTGACGCAGATTTCGGGGTCGGAAGAGAGAACGTGTGTGTTCATGCAGTCGCGGGGTAATGAACACGTTTTTGTGAGTTGTCGGCAATGCACTGGAAGAGGATACTGTAGCTCGTTGTCACACCGTCCACTGCCTGAAATGACCGTCCTGGATACCTTTGACTTTCACAACCGCGCACTTCCGGCTTAGGGCCGGCGAATTCTGATCACCACGTGCGACTTGTACCCATTCACCCAAATCAAGCTCATGCCCCGTGAATACGTCATGACTTATCACTACGTGAAGCGTGCTCAAATCACTGAATACTCGAAATCCGACTTCACCCGCAAGCAGCTTTCTGGCACACAAATTAGTCGATTGACGAAATCGACGGTTTACCTCGGCGGGCGTTAGGCGGGATGTGTCTTCCATTCCGCGCAACCGATTGACACCCGCTATAAAGTGTTCATATTCGCATTATAATGGTACCCGGAGTGAGGGTGTTGCCGATCCCTCGCAACCACCGTGCGAAACCAAAGCGCCATGAAGCGAGTGTCAAGCGATATTTCGCTTGGCACTAGCAGCAGTACGATGCTGCTGCAGATGCCAGGAGGCTGTGTAGCCTACCTCAGAGGTTCACACTCTGTGCGTCTCCAACCGCGAGAGACTTGGAATNATTCTAGAGGAGTATCAACTGCAGCAACTTAGATCTAGAACGCTTCCAGAAGCTTCCAGAAGGTTTCAGAAGTTTCCAGNGGGGCGAGCTTAGGGCTGCACCACTCCTCCTCTCGAATACCGGACAAATAAGCCAATCACACGAAAAATCCAGAATGCTTCCAGAATGATTTCTGGAAGCCCTCCTACGTTCTAGAAGAGTATCAACTGCAACCTAGATCTAGAACGCTTCCAGAAGCTTACAGAAGGAACCAGAAGTTTCCAGAAAGACTTCCAGAGGCTACAGGAGGAACCAGAAGTTTCCAGAAGGCTTCCAGAAGCTACACACGTTCTACATAGATGTCCCGGTCAACCTTGACCTAGCATGCTTCCGGAATATTTCTAGAACAAGAGAATACATGCCAAGGAGAGATGGATCCTTTTCTACTGCTACGCAGACTGGTTGCTGCAATCGTATTCAAAGGTCAAACCGTGTCCGACTACTGGTGGTCTCGACGCACGATTTTCCATACACCACCCCTCGATCAAGCAACTAATTCACAATGGTCGACGGCATCACCATATCCTTGTCTACCTCGA